GAGAAAGGAAGCAAATGCCGCTGTCATTTTTACTGACCCTTGGAAGAAAGGAGAAGTACAATTTAGTACCAGTTCCAGGTGACTGTCCAAATATTTAACAAATATAAATATTTTCTTTTGGTCAAGACTGAAGAAAGAACACAACAGATTTTTTTTTTATTTTCACAGGGAAGAACCACTCTCATACATGATCTATATGGGAAAGAAATTCTATTGCCTTGCAGAATGTATCTTACCATCACCATTATTATGTATAATGTCTTCAATGTTTGGAAATAAAAATCATCTTCCTAATTTTATGAAAACACTCCCCTTATTGTATCTTAGTTTCCTTGGAAACAGCAAATTGATAATGTGGTCTCTTTTTTAAAGAATAAGAGCAAAGTTAAGTTTCAGGGTTGTGACTGAGACAGAAAAAAAAAAAAAAAGAAAACCCAGAAACAGTGATTCTATTACCCATCAATATTTATTCCTGACCAGAAGCTTTGTATGTTATCAATCACAATGCAATTGTACAATAACAGGTAAGTGTTTTTAAAACCTGTTTCCTTTCAAAGCACCGGTTTTATTTTTAAATCTGGAACTCAGCAGAAAGTGCACAAGACTGCTAAATCTTTAGAAGGCAGATGTAATGCTGCTGAGGCTAAAATCAAATTCTAACTTTCTGAGAAGGCACGACAGATTTAACTGGTCATACTTCAAAGTCTTTTATAAAAAAAAATATTTCAATCTTTAATGTTCATACACGAAGTGAAGGGGGAAAATGAACACTGCTGGCTTGTCATCAACCTCAGACTGGGGTTACCGACTGCAAGATACAAATAATGGATACTTTTAATACCTATTTTTAGAATGAGAATGAAATCAATCCCCCATTAAAGTTTACACAGAAGTCTCAGAAGCGTCGTGAGGGGAGGGCAAGATTATGGGGAGCTCTAGATGACTCAACCATCCTTGTACTATTGCGCCCCCCCGACTGATGTAAAACAAAAGTGCCTCGGCTAATACTCGTTTCTACGAAGGGTTTCAAAATGATTGACCTTATGTGATTATCTTATTGGAAAGGGTTAAAACCGAAACTGTTTTCAAACACCAGCTTCCTTTTTGCATGATCCCAACAGTTTCTGCAAAAACTTGTTAACAAATGTTTTCTTAGCACCCCTTTCCTACCCGAAAGAATGCATTTCCATAACTACTGAGTTGGGTTTGTTTTTTTTTTTTTTTCCCAACATGGGGGGGCGAGGGAAAGAGTCAAAAATTCCCATAAGCAGCCCAGAGCAGGAAAAAAAAGCATATTCTCCAACCGTGTGGGAGCAGGGGAAAGGGGCAAGAATAAAATACAGCACCAGAGAAAACCTTGGGTTCCGAACTTTATTGCACAAAGAACCGGGAGGAGAGCGGTTGGACGCTGCGGCTCGCCCGTTCGGGCGGCAGGCACCTTCACCTCCGCTGCCCTCCGCGCTCGCCTCCTTCCTCCTCCTCCTCCACCCCCCACAGCACCCAGGTGGTGGCGGCCCGGGCTCCCAGCCCGGCGCGGCCAGGGAGAGCGTGGAGCAGCGACAGGCGGCCTCCCCCGGGGCG